CTCTGTTGCAAGTATCATCGAATAAGCCCCGCGAACTCTCAAGGACTGGAGTTTGGGGTCACGGTATCTGTTGAGATATATTAAAACCTATAGAGAACTTGGTTGTATAAGACCACTAGTATTCCAGGTATCTCCAGATGAAATGGGATGCTCAGCTATCCCAAAATAATAAATCATGCTTCTGCTGGGGGAAGGAAATTCGAAAGCTTTTCACGGACAAGTGAATATAGGCTGATTGAAATTAATCTATGCTAAGGGAGAGAGTGATCCCACTAGAGATTTTCAGTAACCGGTGCTGCCGAGAACGTAAAATGGTTGGAAGATAAATATAGAAATGAAGGCCAAGGATGGGATCAAGATTCGAAAATTCAAATGAAGTTTGTACGTGAATCGAACTTAGAGTTTTTCAGATTGAAATAAAATCTCTTCCGGCGTGCAACTGCTTGAAGCTTGAAACGTTTTCTTTTGATCCACGTCAAACCCAGATTCCCTCAATGAACGCATCAATTGGAAACAACAGGGTAAAAACTTGATCAAAGTGATTGGATTTAGGGTGAAAAAAATATGGGATTGTTGAAACGAAAGCTCTCTGGAGGTGGTATGATGTATAATGATTTATAGTGAAAAGGTAGAAAGTGTACGAGTTGGTATGTCTTTGTATGGTTGTAATTTTCTATCAAAGCCATGCCGTGGGCTCGGGTTTTCCATTCCCAAGCTCGTGTTATGTCGAAAGAGAAGCTCCCCTTGGTGCTTGGACGATTAAGTTTTTCATTCATCATCGTTGATATTAACTTAAATATTCAAGGGGATTTATATTTACAGATACTCAGAACGTCCAAATTCAACAATCGGATTCAATGGCTCCACTCCCAAGCCCAACAGCCTGCCCAGAAGAAGTCCCATTTGCTATCTTAAAGGTCGGGAAAAGCCACCTTCATCACTTGTTCATCTATATTAGCACATGGCAAGAGTTCAGTTCATAAAATGTTCTGGAGATCCACATGAAAATGCATACAGGTAAGGCCGCCACACTCGTGTTGTTTAGATTTAGACACGACAGATCGGTGGCCCCATGACACGTGCTAGACATTTTTTTATATAAAAAATGAAATTTAAGGTCGAGTGAATAATTCATTCAACTAGTTTTAATAATTTTGATTAATGTAATAATATGATTAAAAAAATAACATAAATAAACTGAATTAAAGAAAAAAAATTGATAGGGATTAATTGCAAAAAAAAAAAATGCTTGTCAGTATTATAAAAAGATTCTCCATAATCTTATTTAATAATAAAGCAAGAATAAAATAAGAATAAAATAAACTTGTAAAAAGCAAAACATAAAAAAATTAAAGCTCAATTCCCAACAAATTAAATGTTAAAGAATTTAAAAAAAAAATAATACTCGAGTCCACCGAGTTAACTAGCCAAATCTATGATTTAATTATAAGACTGGAATAACCTTGTATAAAATAAATTGAATAAAAGTAAATCAAACTAATTTAATGTTGAAGAGTAAAATTGAAAAAAAAAAAGTTTATTTTTTAAAATTTTTTTTATCAACTCAGGTTAACCTGTCAAACTTGCAATTCGGGATATATGATCAAGATAACCCCTTAAAGTAAAAAATGAATATTTTTACAAAGCTTAATCTCCAATCATTTCAATATCGAATAATTAAATTGAAAAAAAATCAATTAAAAAAACTATAAAAGAACTTGATTTAATATTCCAAAACAATTATCTAGGTTATGAGGCTGAGATTATTTTATATAAGACAAATCCAAAAAAATTATGAAGTTAAATTTTTAATAAATTAAATATTGAGTGATGAAATTTATAAAAAAATAAATAAATAAATACCAAAAAATAGCAATAAAAAAATAAGAACCAAATTAACATAAAAATAAAATGAAACCAAATGTTAAGAGATGAAATGAGGAAAAAAAACAGATATCAATAGATCAGGGACTAAAACATAAAAAATAAATGAAATCAAATGTTGAGAGATAAAATTAAAAAAAAAATTAATACAAAATAAAATAAATAGCAATAACAAAAATAAAAACTAGATTTCATGCCAAAACAAAATCACATGACACCTTTCAACTTTGATAAACCATTACAGATTTTGTGGAGTGGAAAGAGAAAAGAGAGAGGATAAAAAAAAAATGCCACATTAGCCTCATTGTCACTCCACTATTAGCACGTGCCTAACCATCAAAAAGATCTCACTATGATAGTTTAAATACAACAGCTAACAGTGTTTTGGAGCTATCAGAAGAGGTCCATGCACTACCAAAAAACAACAACCTCTTTCTATAAGCTAATTTGTTTGTTGCGCGAGTCAACCAAATTGATCTGCCTATCTTTTTCAATATTTGAAATTGTTTATTTTTAAAATTTGATCCCTTAACCCTAAATTATTTTAGATCAATAATTTCTTATTTTTTTGAAAAATAAAGCATAAAATAAATTTCAGAATTTTTGCTTGACATTGTGGGATATCCATATTTAGGCAAAAAAAAGAAAGAAGAAGAATAGGGGCTGAATCTCTTCCATGTAATTCAGTCTATGATGCTTGAATGAAAAAAGGACCTCAACACTTGTCTAGTGTTGAAATTTAATCCCCACAACTTTAATTGTTTTAAATCAATTTAATTTTTTAATTGATTTTTTTTTAATAATTTTATCTTCTATGAGTTTTTTCCCATCGAATTTGATCTTCATTCTTTTTATTGTCATCTTTTTTTCTTTGACAAGTTTTTTAATTTTTTTTTTTACAATTTCATCATTCTTAATTAAATTAGTTAGTAATTAAACTTGTCGAAGGAACTTGGTTCAAGGATTTCAATCATTATGAAATTTGTGAGTTAATTCAGGTTGACTTATATATTTTTTTATTTTTCTTTTAAATTATTATTATTATTATTTTTATTCTTTAATATTAAGTTATTTGATAATTGAGTTTTATAATATTATTCAATTTGCTTTCTAATGTGTTTACCCTTGTATCACGACTGATTAAAGATTTTGCATATTGACCTGAATAGGCTCAGATAGAGTTTTTTTGATGTTTTTAAATTATATATTTTTATTTAAATTTAATCCTTTAATGTTCTATTTGCTAGAAATAGAGCTTAACCTTTTTTTTTTTGTGAAGTTATTATGTTCTGATTTAATTTATTAGGAATCAGTCTTTGAACTTTTTTCTCTTTGATTTTTTCTATAAGATTATCTCAATTTTATTTTCATAGTCGTAAAGTTTGCGAGTTAACTCGGTATAACTAGGATTTTTTTGTTATTATTTTTATTTTTCCCTTTGTTATCGAGTTATTTAAAAATCTGTGTTGGCTTAAATCAAGTTTTTTTTAATCTTGTTTTCATTGTTATTTTTTCTGTTTTTCATTTATTGTTGTTATATTTTTATAATCATATTATTTAAATTATTTATTGAGCCAATAATTTTCTAAAGATAGAGCTTAACCTTCCTTTTTTTTTTTCCTGTGAAGTTATTATGTCCCATTTAATTTATTAGAAATTAGTTTTTGAACTTTTTTCCATTTGTTTTTTTTTATAAAATTGTCTTAATTTTATTTCTATAGTAGCAAAATTTGCTAGTTAACTTGGTTTAACTAGGACTTTTTTGCTAATTTTTTTTTAATTTTTTCCTTAATTATCAAGTTATTTAAGAATCTATGTTGGCTTAAATGGGGCTTTTTTAACCTTGTTTTCATTGTTATTTTTTCTATGTTTTATTTATTGTTATTATATTTTTATAATCATATTATTTAAATTATTTATTGAGCCAATAATTCAAATCTTATATTTTTTTCCCCCTAAACATTTACTTTTACTTTGATTTTTTTTTCTCAGCCCGCGGATACCAAGCTACAAATCTAGTAAAACCAGTAAGATGTGTTTGTCCAAGGTGAAATCGTCACCAGCTAAGGTGGCCTCATTAGCTAAAACTCGTCCTCTTTTAGTGCATTTTCCTCCTTCAAAAATACAAATGATAAGCAAGAGCTTTGCAATCAAGAACCATAAGAACACACACAAGTTAAATTATCAAAAAAAAAAAAACCCGATAAAGAGAAAGATAAAAGACTAATTAATTTGTAACAACATTGTAAAACCTTCATGTCTTCCCTTGAGAACCAGTTGGTGGTTCCATGTCTCCCATCTTCACCATGACAGAGCTAAAATCAGAACAGGCGTCTGCCTCCTTAAGAGGAGTAATTACTCTAAATATATTTTCAACTGTATTTTTCCCTCTTATGTAAAGTTGTGTTTGATTTGGAGTGTTAAAGATATATATTAAAAAAGTTGAAGGATGAAGTGTTATGTACGTTTATTTGATAGGAGATAGAAAAATTATGAATAATAGTGGATATCAATAAAAATAAAAAATTAATTTTTAAATTAAATATAATTATAAAAAATTAATAGCATCATATATATATATATCATCAATTTTTTTTTTATTTTCTACATGTTGTTTTTCTTCTCTTTATATCTATGTTTTTTAATAAAGTAAATATTAATGATTATCCTTAAAACACTTTAAAATTTATTGTTTTTTGCACCTTTTGATATCACTAAATTTATAAGAAAACATTTTAAAATACCTCAAAAATTAAATTTCCATCCACATTTTTTTAATAAATGAAATCATATTTTTATTTTATTTTATATTATTTTCTCTTTCCGGTGACTACATAAACATCAGCCAACATTTTTAACAGCTTTATCTTACAGGCAGCCAGAACAACCAAAACAAATCCAGCAATATTTACCAAGTTGTCATCCTAATGTCTTCATTTCTTACCCTTCCGTTCCTCAACTGAACAAAGCGAAAGGACTCTTTCATTTCCTGTCTCTAACTCCTGACCCACCCAAGTCCTTTCTGTCTCCTCTGCAAAACCCTAATCCAGAATTAACCCAATTTGGCATTTGATTGTTCAAGCCAACGTCTTTAGTTTCTTTGGAAAAAGGTGGCTTCTTTCTCTCCACTTCGTGAAGTTGTGGACAAAGTTTATGCAAAAAAGTTCTGATTTTGAAGTTAGTTTTAGTCTGGATTTGTTGCTTTTTATTGATAAATGGAAATAAGGATGGTCATTTTGATGGAAAAGCAGAGAAGATTGTTATTTTCTTTGGGTCAGGATATGCATTAAAGGGCTATTTCATAGCTGATGTTCAAAGGGGCAGTTTATTTATGGGAAGTTAATTTTTTATTTCACTATGAAAGATAAGTTTTTTAGGTTTTAGAGCTAGGAGTAGGAACTGGGTCTTGATAATTGGGAACTCAAGAGGTGGTTTTTGCAAGAGAAAATGTGATTTTAGGAAGTGGGTATGAGCTGAAATTGTTGATACAAAACTTAGAGGATGTTGATTGAATGAAGTGGGCTTTGAAAAGCTTACTGTTCTGTAAAAGCATATTACATCGTCATTACTATTTCATTTTCTGTAGTTTATTTTTGTTATATTGTTTCGTTTAGGATGATAAATGAATCATTTGACAAATTAGTGTTATTTTCTGCTGAAAAAACTGGAAATACAAGTAGGAATGGCATGCCACAGTTGATTCATGTGGAAAAACCAAAGTGCCCTTCATAAGACCTGTAGATGTCTGCATTCTTGTTATTATCTGCAAAATTCCCTGTAACATGTCGTTTCATTTGAGATTAGATGACCATTTTAAATGAATAAGTTTCTAAGTTCAAGGCAACTGAAACAAGTTTTGATTATTTACATGATGGCTAACAGTTTTTGGATTGTGACTGATGCCGTAGTTCACTGTGCTGTTCATAGGGTGCTTTGGTTCTGTTTAAGCTCAGGCAACCATCACAGTGACAGTTTCATGGCAGGCAATGGCCTGCCACCTTTGGGTCGTGTGAAGCTTAGCGATCTAGTTCCCTCTGAAGGCCTTCCTTCTGAATCTTACAAACTATCAGTAATGACTTTGTCACAATCGCTTGTTCAATATTCTGCCGCCATCATTCAGTTTTCATCAAGTGACGGGGCTCTCTTAAGATCTGGTTTGGATTCTGCTCGCTTGTATTTCCATCAACGATCATCATTTCCAGCTCCAGATATGATTCACACTAATGATTCTCGTGAATGGTGCAAGACATCAGGTTACTACATGGATCCTCAGCTATGGCAGGAAACATATGATTATAGACCTGGACTCACTCCTATAGAGCCCAACAATACAATGGAAATTCCTCCAGGAGGTTTGCCTGACATCTTTTGCCTGCTTGGAAAGGCAGCTAGGGATATACTGGATGCCATCAGCTTCTATTTGACTTTGCGTAGCTCTCCATTCACTGAAATACTTGATAATGTTCCCTTGAGAGACAGGGAAATATCATCTTCTGTGTTATCTGTTTGTTGTCATGCAAGGCCATCTTTTCAGGGCACACAACATCATAATTTAACAGCCCATGAGGACGGGCAGCTGGTTATGTATCCGGACCATGAGCACCAAGTGGATAAAAGCCTAATATCTCTTGTCAAGTCAGATAAGCCAGGTTTACACATAAGAGACCTTCATGGTCGGTGGGTTCCTGTGGATGTTGATCTTGGTCCTCAAGAAGCCGTTGTATACCCTGGTCTTGCCCTCTACCAGGCAACTGCAGGCTATGTCAACCCAGCACTGCTCAGAACAGAGTTTAATAGCATGCAGGGTAGCATGTATGGACGCTGTTCTTTGGCTTTTAAACTTATGCCAAAATCCATGACCAGTCTCAATTGTTCGGAGATGAGAGCAGCTGGTCATGGTGTTGAAGCTCAATTTCAGCTACCAATACCAGTGGATGATTTCATGCAGAGATCACATCCTACCGACCAGCTTTTTAACAGACATAATTTCCAGAGTTTCAGTTCCCCTACAGCGCAAGATGGTATGCAGTGCTCCCATAATGTTCCTGTTTTGGGTTTTCAACTCGCAAATTAGTATAGTTGTTAAAATGCATTAGAAATTTATTGCACAAATCTTATGCTGTGGATGGCATGCGATCCTTGTCTTTCTGATTTAGTTAGGCTCTTCATATGGTGTGGACAAAACTTTCTGCTTAGGAATTGCGTAGTTTCTTAGAATAGCATCGATTGGTGGTGCAAAAGTTGTGATTTTTAATTGCCTTCTTCTGTTGTGTTGCATAGTTATTCGTTTTCTGTTGTGAGCTCAGTCCTGCATCAATTTTTTGTTTTCTTTGGGATAAGAAGAAAGTAAATGCCATTTGACAAATGTAGAGTTTTTGAAATCAGCATCCCACTGTTTGGTCAATAAAGGTTTTTTATGGCTGGTCCTGATAATATGTTCTGTCCATTTCTGTTTCTTGTCTCATCTTCATTTTGTATGTTCACCTTTCTTTTTTTGTTCAAATAGTCCTTAGTAAGTAGTTTTTAACAGCAGGTCCTTGGATCGATGACATGCTGGTACAGGATCTGTGAAGCCCTTGATGAGGAGGAGGAAGAATAATTCAAGATGCAAACCTCTACCACCTTCAAAGAGGCTAAGGCTTGAGGCCCAGAGGGTTCTGAAAGAAAGAGTTCAGGACATTGCTGATAAAAAGGGTATCAAGTTAAGATTCTGCAACCTGAAAGAGTGTGAGAATCACATTCATACCCTAGAAAAGAGTGTGAGAATCACATTCATGCCCTAGATAGCCCATGTGCAAACATAAGAATGGAGATTGGATGGCCTCCTGGAGTGCCATTTGTTCATCCCCATGATTTACCAAATAAGGCAAAGATTAGTTTTCTTGAAGCTTACGAGCCCGGTGCTACTCACGATATGGAGTTGAGTTTCACAGACCCTGGACAAGGCAGTCAACATACGTCCAGCTGTAATTGTAATTCTCCTCTTATATCTAATTAACCCTATATGGTTCATAGTAGATGTCGTTCTAGGCTTAAACAAAAGCAAGGCTGCATGTGCTTGCACGAATCCACACGCATGCACATAAATTTTGTATGTTATATAGTGGCAAACCTTGTAGAGAGGGAGGAATGTTCTTATACAACATGTGTTTATGCTGTCTCTTAAAGACATGTCTTCATTCTGTGTTTGCAGGAATCAGTTTCAACCGTTTTAAATAGGTGGCAACCATTGATCAGCTTATGACTGAGACTGACTTGGATGATCTCTATAGTTGCCTTGTATGGACCATTTAACCAGTCTTCATTCAGGTTTTGACGCTACAGTGGTTCTCCAAAACTGTATGAAAACCGTATGAGATGAGAGCATTTGAGCTACAATCACTGAGGATATGTGAAATACAGGTTACTTTGGCTTGGATCGTTCTGTGTCTAAATTGATAAGATCGTGGTAGTGTTGTGTTGAGATCTACTTGACCACGTTAGTAGTTGGTTCGGATCTGTACGTATTGCCAGTAGAGAGTTGAAATGAGATGTATACTTACTGGTCCTTGTGATGTTTCTATACGAATATAACCAAACAATCACTGTCATACAATTCAATGTCGTTCTTTTAATCAGCTGAAAGCTAAACTTTCTGTTTCTGCATTTGTCCAGGAAGCCTGTGAATGTTTAAATTCCAAGGAAACCTTTGTTTGGTATCCTTCATTTTATTTGTCATCGATAAACATTAAAACTCATTAGGAATTACGAGGAAAGAAGCTTCCTTGAAGAATAAAACTTCTATTATGGTTGGCAATACGTTCATTTTTTTCATGTTATCCAAACCACATGGCTTTCACATATACTGCTTTGAGGACACCCTGCAGCAACGGAAGCCAAAAGAGATACTTTAAGGATGCTGACACCGCCCCCCTCTTACTCCATTACAAATTTGTGAAAGAATGTCTTCAGCAAGGACTGCTCGCAGAAGTTTCTATTCCACCCATCAGCCTCTGCATGTCTATCAAGCAAAGCACAGGCAGAGGTGAAATTTGCCTCGTTTGCCAACCAAACACCAAAGCCATGTGGAGATGGTTAAAAGCAATCAGATCCTTGAGCACAACTTATTTCATCTGCCAAATGGAGGTTGGTTCTCAAAAGGAAGCTCAATTGGTGTTGCGTTACCATAGAATTCTTCCAAGTTGTAGAACGCTCTCTGCGGAGGAAGAAATATGTGGATTACTACATCACCTGGAACAACATACAAGTTAAATTACATCAATGAACAACAAGAAATTTCTCATAGTGAAAATACACAAGCCCAACCACCAGCCAAAAATCTATCAAGAGAAGAAAAGTCTCTGGGTTACCAATACCAGAAGTACCCTAAGTACTAATATTTCAGGAAAAAATAAAAAGCCACTGGAATCAGTTGACCAGCACACGACAACCTCTTCAATTTTGTACTCAAATTGAGGATATGGCTATGTTCATAACCGTGAAACTCTTTTTTTTTAGTTTGTTTCTTTGTTGAGTTAATTTCATATAAAAAGAAGCCACTGGGATTGTCATTCAAGAACTCACCAAAGTCCAACAGGGTCCATGAGTTGGGTTTTGTGTCCCCAGATGGAACTTTTCCGTACTTCTTTTCAGCAAGATCCCTCATTCTGGAACTACAAGGGGAGATAACACCATCAGAGGAATTGCTCCAAATATTGACATCTTTAATCTTATATCAACCAGATGTAAAAAGATAGAAGACATGAATAGAAGTTAATACTTGATAGCGTCAATCTGAGGACGCGAAAATGCTGTTGCAATGATAAAAAATCTAGTCCAGTACACAAGAGGCTTTACGAAGAGGACCCTTATATCTGAAGCCTTAACATCACTTGCAACCTTGGCCATTTCAACAGCAACTAGAACAGAAGAAAAGAAGCAGGACATTGTCAATCAGAGGTGCGCTACATGAAAATGGAAGGATTATATGTAGATTACCTAGGCCTGTGTGCATAACTGCAATATGTGTGTCTTGTTCAGAAAAGAACCCAGTGAACTTCAGAAGCACACAAATCATTTACAAAAAGGATAAAGAACAAAAAACACGAAAGTCCAAAGAGAACTGAAAGACATCACAACTAGCTGAATGACACCAACTCAGCGAAAACTTGGCAGAAGTTGACAGACATGCATGTCTTGTTATAATGAAATCGTTTTCTAAGCATAAAAACAACTTTTCATTTTCAAATTTCTTAAAAACATGATTGCCCGCATTAAAGTACCTTCAAGCACATAAAGAATGCCTGTTAGCAGCACTTGTGAAAAAAGCAGAACAGCGTTGGTTTGGAGCAATGTACCATGTCAAAGATGGCAAGAAATATTTTAATATTTTAATGAAACAATGATGTAATTAAATGATATGATAGAAAAGAAAAAGCAACAACCAGGGTCCTTTAGCAGCGCTGAACAAACTAAAATCATTACAATAATTGTAATCAGTACTTGGAAAATACAGCACAATAGTACAAAATTAGATATCCAAGAATAAGATACCTGATATCAGCCAAAACGCACATGCATAGCTGGAAAACTAGGTGCAGACAGATAATTACTATATTTACATAAAACATAGGCAGTAACCATGATTTTAAATATGGGTGTTATGAACTTACACGACAAGCTTTCAGCATCATCATCAACCTCTGCGGTAGGAGGTTTATTGTCATTGCTCCTAAAGACTACTTTTCCATATTTATTGAACAAGTCATCAAACATCTCATCTGTATCTTCTACATTCTGCAAAGATATCAATCATGTCAGGAACATTGCCTCAAAGGTATTGGAAGCACTCACCCTAACATCCAACAAGCAGATAGATAATTAAGCATTAATCAAAAGAATCTTCCAATTCCAGCCATCACTACAGTAGCATGTAGTCAAAACAAAATGAGAAAAAATTTCTTTCAGCATCCATGACCATGTAAACAATTCAATTTCTAGTGATAGTGAGAATTCCCTAACCTAATGAATATCAATTCCTTTGGACTCCAATAAGAAGCTGAAATCTCTCACTTTGTCTGGCATCTTATGCCTGTGATGTAGAATGCCTTAAAAACACAAGAAGAATGGAAACAACAGAAGCAAAAACATGGTACTAGATCTCATTCTGACTAATCAACATCACAAAACTTGAGGAAGGGCTCCAGCATTTAACAGGGAAAAAAATTGAAAGAAAGAAAGAAAAGAAACCCCATGCACTAGATTCAATGAAGGAAATAACATTTGATTTGTTTTTCACCTCTCTAGTTTTATTTATGCTGGAATGTGTTTTACAAAGAACAGTCATCCTCAAATTACTAGTAAGCAATAAATCATTACCCTAGAGTTTGACCATTAAAAAGCCAAAAACCTAAAGTGCAAAAAAGATGCATAAAACTGAAAATAATATAGTGACATGAAAATACAGTAACCGCATAAAACCAGCCCCACAGGTTTATGACATTAACAAGGGCAGATAACTAAGAATAAGAGAGCAAACATTTCTAGAATCTAACCAGGATTCATCACATTTAAAGGAAACAGCAGAACTGGAATCTCTCAGACAAACTGCAAATCACCAAACGAATGTGAATCTCACCGGCAGCACAATGTGGAGATACAGGTTTCGTATGTTTAAATTGGTAACCGACACATTCATCCACTTTGTCGATTCTTCTATATGCATAAGTATGGTTAAGGTTTAGCATATTTTTAGAGGAAGAACAAAATCAAATGTGAGTTGTGAGGGATTGATTACAAATTAAAGAGTCACGTGCTCTCAAGTAACAAAACATTAGATGAGATGGTGGATCATGCTTGGACTAAAGTTTCGATTAAGCACATATCAACTATTTTGACCATAAAAGTGCAAATTAGATTTCCGATAGCTTCTCCCAAAATTCAAAAGAATCATTTAAAGGAAATTATGAGATTCTTAGGCTTACAACCAGAGGTAAGACATGAGACAAAAAGAGCAACCATTTCTTCCAAAATGTAGGAGGAGACAACCACTCAAACTCAGCGTGGTCTCTTCACAAAAGTCAACACAAAAATAAAATCTACTTCATAAATAAGTTCAGAAGCACAATTCTTTTACTCATTAAATCTCATTGCCAAGCTTCTTCATACATTCCCACATCAAGCAAGTCAAAAAAATCGGCAAGAAGGAAGAAGAATTTCAAAACTTTCCCAACCTGAACAATTTGTTTGATGGTATCAAATAGACTCTGGCGACAAGAATTGGGAATTTCAGGAATGACACAAAACACAAGTCAAGCAGTACATATGACAACAAAACTACAATAGAACGTGTGATTCAAATACAAAGTCTCAAACTTTCCAACGCTTTCTTCAATTTGACAAGCACCCAATAAAAAAATATCATGATCAAGTTCAACAAAAGAAAAAAAACCAAAGTACAAAACAACAAAAGATCATAAACTTCAGTTTTCACATTCTACAGTTTCCAACAGTAACAGTACATCAAACAAAAGCCAACAAGAAATGAAACACCTTACCGAGAGAAAGCTGTCATCAGAATCTTTACTAAGTGCTAAACTTTGCTTGAAACACAATTTCTCGTTTCTGGATTCTTGCCAAAAGCACTTGTAATAATGAGGTAATTGGTGTCTACACAGGCATAACCAGCCAGAATGCTTTCTGGGTTTTTGAGAAAGCCTAGTTTCAACACGCCCCAGCTGCTGAAAATCACCGGAGAAGCGAGTTCCGGCACCTGCACCAGTTATGGATACTGCCATTTATGGTTTAGATATCAGAAGAAGATAAAAACAAAAAAGAAAAAAATAAAGAGAGAGGGAGGATGAGATAACTGAAGTAGGAAGGTACAAACCCCATAAGCTTCAAATGGATTTACGGCTTTTTTGGACGAATTACAAATCACTCCTCCAATTTTCACTTGATTTCATGTTAGTCTCCAATAATTAAAAATCTTGCTCTACATAGTTTGATTCTTGTCCAGCGGGTTCAAACTTCATACCTTGTGTCACGCTATGATAACTTTTATTTTCCCTTTGTGGAATAACTTGATTTCATTGAATGGAAGAGGTAAATTTAGTTTAATCAGTTAATCTAAATATTTAAAATATTTTAAGTTGAAGTATATTGTTTAATATTTATTTAACAATATGAATATATGGATGCATGCGCGTGTTCTATTGTCCCATTCACTTTATTATAAATAACATTTAAAAATAAAAATAACATAAGGATCTTCATTATTCTACTATAATTAGTGAGTATCATAATAATAAATATTTAGTGGAATCTTCATTAAGAACATTGAATATGATAATTTTTTTTTAAATTTTGGTGGCCTGCTATGATTTAACACTTATGTATTTAGATGTTTATATGAAAAATAAAACATTTTAAAAATTAAAAAATAAATATTTATATTTTTTTTTGAATTTCAGAAAACCTGACTTTTTCAAAAAATCTATTTTATAGGTTTAGTTAAACAAGTAAATTTATTTCCGGTTGCACTAAGCTTTTATTAAAGATACACACTTTACATTGCTTAGTAGTTAATTTACCCATTTCTTTATTAAGAAAATTAATCATAACTGTAATCAATATAGAACTCAAACAAGGAATCGTATAAGCCCTTTTAAAATGCAGAATTGACATCGATCCTGTTGGAAGGCGATGCAGAATGGAGACTGTGCAGCCGTGCAGGTTCTATCTAGCTAGTAAACCTTTAAATTAAAAACATGTACATTAAATCGTGGCCTCATTTATCTGTGTATATGTTTCTTGTGTTGGGAAAAACAAAATGCTTGTTCTTTGATTAGCATAGAGATTCTCAAACCTCGTAGCTGTCATCAAGAGCAAGACACTTTCGGGGCCACTTGGTAAGGATAGCAACTTGTACGAGGTTTGAGAAAAACGCCAGAGATCATAGGGTCTTGTTATCTTCTGTTTGTCCTTAAGGAATCTTTTTATGTTGATTTTAGATTGTATTGTGATTGTGACCATGACATGCCGACGACCTAGCTTTCTAGGTAAATCGATCTCGATGTGGGATCTCGTGCATGGATTTTAAAATAAATCATGTCGAAGTTAACTAATGAAACCTAATTGACTTAACATATTAATATGTAATTCAATTAAAATTAAGTTTTATTTTTTACCTTTTTTAAAATAATATTGTTTTTTTCTAAAATATATCTATTAAAATAATATTTTTTTAAATTAACCACGGGTTATTTACCCAGTTAACAACTTGAGTCTTAATTTTTAGCATGGAGTTCTCTAACACCACTTATGCTTGCATGGATGCGTGCCTAAGTCATGTTTCCACACTATTTTCCACGTTAAAAAAGATGTCAGGCATCATAATCGGATTGATACATAACTGAATTGAAATTAAATTAATTTTTGTATGAAATAATTAGTATATGATTTCCACTTTTTTACTATCACCAAGTTCAGCATGAGAAAAATAAACTTCATCAAGAGTTTCGAAGTTTGCACAATTATTAGTGATATAGTAACCATAACCATTATCAAGATACTATATTTTTTGCATCGAGACTTGTAATTTAGTGGTTTTGGCTGAGTTTCTCTTTCCACCCATCTTGACTTCAAGTTTTAGTATATATGCTTGTTATATTTATAATATCTTTTTTTTTATTAGATTTATAGAATATTCAATAAATTTAAAAATTAGTTATGATGTATATAAATTACTACCGATATCCTGAGTTATCAAAAAAAAAAAAACATTCATGTAAAAATAGAATAACTAATCTTCATCATTCGAAAACTTTGTTATTGATCTCTCCACTACCATTTGCATATTCCTTGCGCCAACAATTGTTGTCAGAATAAGAGGAATTTTTGCATCTGGTACATTTAAAGAAACAGTCTCGAGTTTCATTACCAGTTTTTTTTGCTAATAGTACAATAAGAATTGGTGCTCCCTCATTTCTGAACATTTGTTCTTCCTCTTCCTCAACTTCTACCTTCTGCTACAATTATGACTTTCACTTGTTTTCCCTGTGTTTCTTTTCTGGAAAACGATCTTCCTTCTCTCTAATCTTGATGAAATCTAGTTGTTTTCTTATAAAAAAAATTGCTTTGATTTGAAATGTCTGCTCTAATGATTGCTTGCTATACTGCTTTACTTTTTATTCAGGTGCTTCAAGAGCTCCTATCATTTCATGAATCATAAGCCTTGATAATTTTTTTTCCCTTCAATAACAGTAATTAGATACTAGAATTTCTATGGCAAACTTTTGAAAATCTTCTCTACAACTCTTTTATCAGAAACATTGTCACCCAACTTTTTATTTGATTAATGATTTTAATGGTTCTTGAAAAGAAATCTTTAACAAACTCACTATCCTTCAATGTAAGATTTTCAAATTCTCTCAATAGATTCTGCAGTCATATGGAGATAGCTTGCTAAGAACCCTGAGATTCATTTTTCAAAATCTCCGATGCTTCTCTTGCCTTCTTAATATAGAAAATTCTGGGATAAATTGATTTGTTTATTCTCTGCTGAATTATTCTTAAGGATGTTGCATTTCTTTGCATATTCTACTTATATTCTTTTGCATTTTGTTCTGTCCAGGATGCAACAGATCCTGTTTGGGCTGGTTCTTCATATCCCTCATCAAATAATGTCCATAAATATTGTGAAATGAAGATAGTGTCTATATGAGAACTCTAGTATTCATAACGTTGATCTCCATAGAAGATAGGAATCTAAGTTGCTGTATAGAAGAAAATAGAGATACTTGATGAGGAAGCCATTTAAAAAAACTAGCTCTGATATCAAATATGTTGGAAACAGATTGCAGAAACATAATTGAAGAAGATTTTTGCATGAAATATTTGGTAGAGGTACAACTCAATACCATAAATATTTTTATTATTTTTGTTATGATCATTCAATACTGGATAGAGAAGGTCTCTCTATAACAGAGACTAATTTAATAAAAACTAGGAGGACATAAACTTCCTAGGTCAGAGAAAATAAAAGAAACTTTGACTCATTAAAGCAAATAATTAATGACGTTTCAAATTATAAATTACACTTTAACAGTGTTATCTATGAAACTAATAATCTCGAACTAGCTAGCTACACTGGCTCAATGAGCAATGAAGTAATGTAATTTCTCACTTTTCCATTGGCATTTGTGTACCCATCTCCATCTTTGTACATGACATCCATCACCCGGGCAAGGTTGAGAACTCGAGTGAGGAGGGGTATCGGCACATGGTCTTTAGGGATGATTAACAACTCTTCGTTGATGTCTTTCCATGCTTCCACAACTTGCCTGCGTAGCTCATCATATGCTTGTTCCTCTGCAACTTCATGCTGGTTCATGTAACACTCTATTGCTGAGGCAACATGGGCTCTCTCTTGTTCAAACTGCAAAGAGTTGGATTCAATAGAAATTAGTCGGAGATCGATCCAATATATTAGAAAGAATTAAAAAAAAGCATACCTTGTGGGATACAGTGTCATCCATGAGCCTGGCTATGACGGACGCAGCTTTAACAATCTTAGGATCCTTGTTTAGCCATTCAAAGGCATCTTTTGTTACAATATCTCCCATCCCAACAAAAGATATGCATGTGAGCAAGGGATAGCCAGAGGAAATCAATGAGATGCGCATGTACTCATCCATTGTTGGCATGCAATTTTCATGGAGCCATCTTGCTTCAACAAAATAGGCTTGAACTTGTTTCTTCATCTGAAACATACAAGAAGAATACTACTATGATAAAATTAACTATAAAAAGTTTATTATGTATATATATTTTTCAATGCCTTTAAGACAATTTCCATTGATTGAAATGTCACCATAAGGTGGAAAAGAAGAAGAAGAGGAGGTTGCTATTGATTAATTATGCAAACAATTTCTGATTGCTTCTAAAATTCAAAGTTTTTTCCAGTGAATTAATTTATAATAAGTTTTTCCAATAAGTTTTAAACTAGTTAAGAGTTGACTTGACAGTATACGTACTGCTTCTTTCGCATAGTCAACCCTGTATGATCTTCCTGGCTCGGCCAACCCCGTCTCAATTTCTTTGAAAACATCAAAGAGTTGTTTGTAAAAAAACTTCATATATTCTGGGAGATGATCGATTTTGCTGATATCCCACCTGAAAGATACAAGTAATTATAATTAATTAATGGATTTCATATCCTACTGTGAATACCATCAAAGAATTTTATGTATACGAGTATGATTTCATGTATATTAATTAATTAATTGATAACTTCATGTATACTAGCTAGTTTTGTGAACCAAACCTCTCAATTGCATCTGTGAAGAGTACAAGTTCTTCCATTGTACCATATACATCATATACATCATCCATCACTGATGTCATGGCAATTACTTTAGTCATAATTATTCTAGTGAAAGAGTATTGAGGCTCAAAGCACACTCCCAATATCCAGAAGTAGCATTCTACAAGTCTGTCTCTTGCAAATGGTAGCTTCTTTGAAAGGTCCACCTTTTTCCACCACCTAAATGACAAAAACAAATAAAAAATAAAAAATAAAATACTTGTAGTTAATTAAATTCAATATAATAAATTTATAATTATTATATAATAACTAATTAGAGATCTAACATTCAAAAAACTTACATTGTGATATCTGCAAGTTCCTTTTGGTGCATATTCTGGAGGAAGTTGAAATTTAGCTTTGCAAATTTGAGTAGAACTTCACCATGTGAAGCTTCTTGCTTATAGCTAGAGATGTAACGCTTTGCCCCTAGCCATGGTAGGTCCTTGTGGATGGGTTGATCTAAGGCATGCCTTAGCTTTACCAAAAGTGGAGGGCACATGTCTGTTGTTATTGATTTGAGATGAGTGGTAGCAAAGGTAAGTGCTTCCTCTAGAATATCTTCTCCGTGAACCCTGAGGTGTGTAGCTTCATACAAGCTTAGCATTCCTTGAATATCATTAGTTAGGCAAACCTTAAAGTTCCCTTCAGTATCCTTGAACTTCTTGAAGACATCTATGTATATATATATACATATATATATGCATCATATGACCACTTTCATCATTTCGTTCCTTATTTGTGAAAAAATATGGAAAATTTTGATTTTCAAAAGATTTAATGGACAAAAAGGAGAAAAATTAGAAGTTAACTCGGGAGAAGCGATATGTACCACATGAAACATAGTGCCCTTGCTGTCTAAGTAATCGAAATCGAAGAGCAACCATTTGAAGGTCATGATCATGGACATAGTCGTCACCACTACCTTGATAGTACAAGTCACACAACATTTGATCAATATCACTTTCAAAGAGGTAAGATACTCCCAAACGTTGGATTACATCGATAAAGTTCAGTTGCTCTGAAAGCTTGTTGGTAGTAGCATATAGCATTTCCTTCACCTCCTCCTTCAGCCTATAAAATTCTTGCTCAAAATGATCATCAAACTGTGAAGAAAATTAAATTGCACAGGTATCATATATAATACTAATTTGTAAGGGAGTTGATATGTATGCATATTGACATGGATAAACCCCGCAATCTATAGATAGAAGACAAGCAATTAGAAAATTAGCCTTAGTATTCGTTGTTCGATGGACATATTAAGGAGTTGTATTACCATGATGGAGAATAAATTGGCTACTATATATAATAGAGAATTATATACGCACATATATTACATTTACCATGGAGTTGAAAGTGTGGCAAACAAAATAATCACCCCAGATGCTCGGATGGAAATTTGCAGAGCGTCGAGTGACATCTGGTATGGCATCTCGAATTGAGTTTGGAGCAGCTGAAACATGAGAAGACATCTCTGTGGTGATAGCTGGGGCCTTGTAAGATACAGTATCAAGACAGAAGTATATTAACTCAATTGGCTTAAAGCTTCGTGCTTTCAAGGGGAGGCTGTGAGTACAAGCGTTGCCACCTTGTGGTATTTATAGAGGAATTCAAGCAGACAATTGAAGCGAAATTAGCTGATCAAAAGTGCTGCTCGATGCTGGAATTAATTACCACGTGCCAATGCCAACTACCTTATGTGATTTAATCTTAGAAAATAATGTTATAACCAATTTTAGCCAATTGGCTTTTAATTTAATTTTACAGGGTTTAAAATGTAAAATTAAAAGATCAGATATTTATTTTGATGAAAAGTGTGATTTGTCAACTTGCATGAAAACTAGGGATTACAATGTGCCTTTGTCATTCTATCCTCATCCTCAAGATAATCCTTACCTTCAAGCTAATCCTTATCTTTTTCAGGATAATCCTCAAGATAATGATAGTTGTCTGCTTTCGAATTCGATTCTAATTTGAACTTCAAAAAAAAGAATGAGTTTGATTGAGATTTTACTTCTCACAAGTGATGAGACTTTTGCACTATAAATATTGATCTCAGTATACGAAAAAAAAAAAGAGGAAAGGAAAGAGAAGGGGGAAGGAAAATTAAAGAGAAACCTTGAAAGAAGAGACCCTAAGAGAAAGCCATTACTAGAAACCCTAAAAGAGAAAAACATAAAAAAAGAAGGGGGCAGCGAACCCTATACTAGCCGCCACCCCCCTCAACCCTTATTTCTTTGCCCAGTCTCCCTCGACTTCGCCTTCAGCAGCCACACGCCTAGGTAAGTTTCCTTCCTTTCTTGCTAAAATAATTACTTAGTTATTCTGTTTGCTAGGGGTGTACTTGACAAGCATAATTTTTATGCCTTCACCATCATTTTTATGTCTATTCTAATTTGATATTTGAACAAACAAACCCTTTTTTGATAACGTAAAATTCCAAAAATATTTGGGGCCTTTGTTGATTTATTTGTGGACCCCTCACACTTTCTTTTTTTCTTTGTGTTTGTATTTTTTGTAGATGTGCTTAATTTATGTACTATTATTGTTAAATGCAAATATGTTGTGCAATTTTTTTTTTAACTTCCATCTAAAAAGGGAAAATAATAATAAAGGATAAATAAGAAAAAAATGACATAAAAAATTTCTTCTTCAAATTCATTTTTTGTGAAAATATTCACTGACGCTAGAGTCAAGAGTATCCTATTTTTGGATTTGTGCGATATTTACTAACGCTAGAGTTGGAAATATTCGTAGGAATTGTTCACTGATGCTAGAGTTAGGAACATGAAAAGAAAAATAAAAAAGGAAAAAAAGAGAACAAATTCTTAGTAATTTTAGACAAAACCAGCAATGCAGCCTGCCTTAGGTAGGACGCTTAAGAGATGATAGCATCTTCCCTTTTGCGTAACCTGTCCCGTATCATAGAATCTCTGTTAACCAGTTAGGGTTCCTAGTGACCATAATACTAGGTGGCGACTTCTTGAACAAGACTTTTTTCCCCTAAAAGAATAAGATGTCAGATATCTGTTTCTTTTCCAAATCAAGATTATATTTTTAATCGGTCGCCGCGATGTCCGAGTGTGACAAATAATATAGGGTTAATTAAGAGATATGCTTACTCCTTGACTTCCTTCAGAATTTAAATCTTAAAAAACTAATTTTCCAACGCCAAAATAAAAAAGAGTGTAGACATTGATGCTTGCTACTATATCAAAGAATAATTAACATTATGTAACAAAAATGTAATTTATGTGTTTGCTAAAATAAAACTGAGAATCATTTATGAAAAAAAAAAGCCTTTCTAAGCGAGAATAAAGCCAATTAGAACCAATAAAAAAAATTAAAAGATTTAGAATAAGAATGAGACATTAAATGCTCTTGAAAAGTAACCACTCGAATAATCTTTCAAGTATAAAAGATTGGAGATGATGAATAGTGGTCAAACCACAAGTTGTCTGCATCCTTTTTTTTTTGTGTTATAGTCAAAACGATGTTGTTTTGTACTAAAATAAATCATTTTGGTCAAAATATATCATTTCATTTAAATAAAACGGTGCAATTTTGACATCCTTGGGGTTTTAATTAGGGATTTGACTAAAATTCAATTTAGTCCTTTGTCTTTTGATTTCTTTTAATTACACCTCTAATTAACTTGAAACTTTTAATTTCATACGATTTTACCCTTACCAAACTTAAAATCAACCCTGAAATTAGACGCCTTTTCGTTTTAGTTTTTGGTTTTGGATTTATGCAAATTGATCCTTAATTGAAGTTAAGATAATTAAGAGATAGTCTTTGTATTAATTTGTGGTGATTGTCAAGGAAAGCAACCATCCTTTGTATTTATACCCTTAGGGTTGTGTACAACATAATGATGGAATGTATTACACATGATAACTATTCCTATATAAGAGTGTTTTCATATATAAGGGCTTTTTCCTTAATACACCCTGTCAAGTTGAAGGTGGAGACTCTACCCGAAACTTGGATCGAAAGTAAGCAAACGAGATTGGAGGAAGAGGTTTGGTAAGAACATCAGTTAGTTGATCCTTGGAAGAAATGAACCGTACTTGAATTTCATGCTTAGCAACGCGATCACGGACAAAGTGATAATTAACTTCAACATGTTTAGTACAAACGTGAAACATTGGATTGACAGATAAGAAAGTGGCTCTTAAATTATCACACCATAACATAGTTGCAGATGAAGAAGCTACCCGAAGTTCTGACAATAATGAGCAAATCCATAAAATTTCAGCAGTATCATCAGCTAAGGCTTTGCATTCTGTTTCAGTAAAAGACCTTGTAATAGTGTGTTGTTTCTTGGATTTCCATAAAATAGGAGTAGAACCAAGGTACACAAGGTAACCACCTTGGTCGCTCCCTTCTCTGCCCACTCCTTATTTCCTTGGCCAAACACCTCCCAAACGCACACACACCCAGCTCCTCCACCTGACAACCCCACAACTGGTCCATTCTTCCCCATCTCTAGAAGACACAGACATTTATCTCCCTCATAATATTCCCCCTCCCTTCAGCATAAACAAATCAAAGCCCCTCACTTAGCGTTGAGTTGTTCTTCCCTCTCCCAATCGTCCCTCTCCTAGCTATTTCCCTCTCTCGGCCATTTCCACAGACCAGCCAAGATAGCGCCAACTCTTCTTCATCTTCTACAACTAATTACAAGCAGCATGACAGATACTAGCAGTCATTTGCTTGCAATACCGACCAAAAGAGAAAGAGATAAGAAGGGATTGAGCTTAATATGGTATGTTCCCCCTCCTTAGACCTCTACTTGCCTCACCACGGACCAAAGAATAAGGAGGGGTCGACGATCTATCCGTTCTTGTGGATTTCTGACCGTGTGAGTCACCGGGCAGTAACTCCCCACTCTTTTAGTAGCGATACTCCTCTCTCGCCCATTCCTCCTCCTTGTTGCTGGCCACCTGAAATAGAGAAGGTGAAACAAAGAGGAAAAAAAAATTTGTAGAAGAAACATATCTAAAAAAGGGGAAGACCGAGAGCAGATTTGAAAAATGAAAGAAATGGATTAAAATCAACTGCCAGGGTTTTTTTTCTTGTCGCAGGTCATGGTGAAAGACACCATTGGTAGGAAAGTGAAGAGGAGAAGAAGAAGCTAAGCCAAATCCACCTGTTCATAGGTTCAGCCTACGGTGACGCGTGAGCCCACGCGCCGCTAGTGGAGATGGCCCGTGGAGGAGACGCGCCACCACTATTCAGGTGGTGCAGAAGGCCTTCCCTATAGTTCTAGATTGTTTTGGGGCCTTACCATAAATTAAAGGTATCTTATATTATTAGATACGTTATTATAAAACATGCTTTAGTTAAGGAGTTATTAATACTTCGAGTGCAAAATGATGATATAAAACCTTGATAAAAATGTATTTTTAAGTACTAATCAGTGACAACTCCCAAATCAAGCAAACGAATGAAAAATCGCTAACCGACGCCACGTGGGGGACGTGTGACTAGGTGTGAATGGTGAAAACCTACGCAAAATGAACATTTAAGGATTCCATACCCTAAGGAAAGGTTCTAAGCCATTACATAAGGGTTAACTTTCTACTTGGTCTCAAAAGGTCAATGAATTGCCTAATGACTACCTTACGTGAAGGTAGTATAGGAGTTTACAAAGAATGGTTGGGGTACGATGTGACTATTATTATAGAGTAAATACTCATTTCATAGTTGAATGTTTCATGAATTTGAACCCCAACTGAAAGTCATGACGCGGACCGCTACTTTCCACCTAACCTCAAATAGGTTTATTCACAAAAATTAAAATGCATGAGAGCATTAATCCACACTCGGTGTATTTATGCATGAACAAGAAGTAAAAATACAATATCCATTTTTTTTGCTTTTTAAAACATGAGAAATATGTATTTTTTTTAATGAAAATATGCTTGGGAAATTATTTAGGATATGACTATATACATGAAAACAATTTTTTTTTTTGAAAGGGAAAATTAATCTAAAAGTTTTGAGATTTTTTTTACTTTTTAAATTTTTTTAAGAATATTTTTGGAGAAAACCAAGTGTTTTAATATCGGATTTGTATCTTTTAGTGTAAAAATATAATCCAATATTATGCAAAATTGGTAGAAAAACATGCGAAAAAATTAGAAATATTTTGAAATGCCTCTTAAAATGTTTTTGGAATTTTTTGTTTTTTTATAATTTTTTTAATATATAATATTATATATGTTTATTATTAAATTATTACATTATATTATTATTAAATATATGGGTTGGCCGAGCTATATGGGCTGAGCTCAGCCCAAAAAAGAGGTTAAGCTGATCTCGGCTCAATAGATTTGTTTTCTTCTTCTTCTTTTTTTGTTTTTTTGTCTGGGCCGGACATGACCCAACCACTTGAGTTGGGCTGAAATGGGTCTAGTCTAGGCCTTACATGGTCACTAGCCCGACTTAGTGACAATCTTAATTATAATTAACTTCTGTTTGCAGAGCAAACTCTTTTTGTATGTAGCAATAGATTTTCGTTACAGGGAGGAGAAGAAAAGCTACCAAATGCAGGGGAAAGTAATTGGTTGGTTGTGTAGGGAGAACTGTTGTGAGAGATTGATAGTGGCACTGTTA